AGATATCTCGAGCCTCAGCCCTCTGGTTTCTTCCATCACAGTGGTCATCACTAACTCCGCAAGGCGGACCGCCATTTCCCATCCATTCCCCCAGGCGAACACCAGCGTGTTGTCCGCATAACACGTCGCGCTGCGTCCAAGGGCAGTGGGACGCGCAGCACTGCATTGTATGTGAGGTTCCACAAAGTAAGACAGCTCTGTGGAACCGCCTTCCTCATTACTATCCCATTTTGGCCGAGAAATACAATTGTTTTATCTTTAAGGTACGCAACTATGTCTCCTCTTAAGTACAAGACCTGGTGTAACACTAACGCTCTATCTCAAGAGAAGGTATTAAAGGCGTTGGCGATATCCAAGGATACCGCCAAAGCCAACCTACCTTTTCGTGCAGCTTGAGAGCGACCGCGCGTTAATCGTGGGTGCCCCCTACGGTAGTTGTATTGCCCTCGTTGAGTCCCGGCAATTCTCGGTCCAGGTGAGCTACGAGGCGGGCAGATATGATCCTTTTAAATAGCTTGCCCGCCTCGTCCAAAAGGCACAATGTCCTATTTCTCGAGGACGGCCCTCTTTCGGCAGAATGACCATCCTCCTGATCTTCCAGTCTCATGGGAATTCGCTTCAGACCAGGCACCTACTATAGAAGAGTCTTAGCCGGGAGGTAAACTCCCCATACACTCCTCATACACTCCCCATACACTCCGTTTCAAACCTTTGTCAGAATCCCATTTGGGCCCGGAGCTTTACGTTCCTCTATTTTCCTGACCGCTCTAGTTCCTCGATGGACACCTCCAGCTCTGTGGTCCAACTCGCAATGCCTGGCTAACAGAGCATAGGCAATCTGGCCTCTTTCCCCACAGGCAGCAATGCAGGAGAATGGGTTCATCGTTACCGTAATCGTAACCGTCCACGGACGGAGTTTTTCCAACATGATCCGGTATGGACGTCTACCACGGGTCCGACTTAAAGTGCAGCAAGGAGCTGCTCACAAGCCTGGAATTTGGCTTCCTTAATGGAACGCTGTAGGCATTCCTGCGAATAAAATACACGCGCCGTAAAGTGTTTCAGGTGTAGTGATCAACAAACGAAAACCCTCAGTGGCTGCATTTTCTGTGCGCGAGAGGGAGTGCAGAAACGGTGAAGTGTTGTCGCGCATGCGCAGATCATCACCGGAGAGGTGCGCGCGCAACGACTTGGAACGAGATCGTCTGGCAGAGTATATTTCCCGGTTCTTGTGTGGAAAAAATACACGCGTATTGTAGGTGCTTTTTGATAAAACTGGTGCTGAATTAAAAAAAAAAAAAACAATCTCCAAAGCATTTTGCAACGCCAAATAGTTATACGGCTGGTTACTTTTGACCTTAGCGCCTCCACGCAGGCTACTCGAAGAATCACGGTTTTCCTCCGCGACATTCAAAGACTGGAACAATGGCAAAAAGACTGAACGAAAATCCGATGCTGCCCATCAGGGAAAACAATTCAGATCCAGACGTCCCAGATTCAAAGATGGATTAAGAGAGGAAATAAGAGAAGCCACCCGAGAGCTCCTTCCCAGAGAAGGCAAGCAGTGTCATGCAAACTGCTAGGAAGCCTTTGGTGTCGAACCGCAGGATGAAAAAGCTGGAGTCGGAGAAGAAGGAAGATTATTTCCTGAGTATAAGTACAGCCCGGGAACGAGTCTGCCTTAGAGCAGGAAGTGCTAAAACTAAGGGCAACTAACCATAATCAGGAGCTAGAGGAGAAGCTGATAAAATTGGAGAATTCCTTACCAAGGACGCAAGAGGCACAAAAGACGTTCGCTGCCAAAGAGTGTGTCATTCAACAGACGCGGATTTGCTCGCGTCCGCCGAAGCCGAGTGGCCGAATGACCTCCACGAGGACTACCCCACACTGGGCCTTCAACCAGGGCGCTACCTCTCCGCTGGAGGAATTAATCAAAACCCTGGCGGAAGACATTGCCGCTCTTAGACGAGAAGAACGGAATGAAGCCCCCGCCCCAACAACAGCGCATTACTCGCCTGTCAACACCGAGGGGCTGCAGTCGGCCCTGCCCTCTAGATGGAGAGCAGACAACTCGGTCACTGGTGGAAAACAAGTAGGCTGCACAACAGCGAAGAAGACCAATCCGGCGGCGGCAGGCGAAAGCATAAAAGCTCAAAGCTAGCTAATCCGAAAGAACTCCAGATGCATCGTCTGCTGCGTGGACAACCGTGCTCGGTAGAAAAGCGAAGAAAATTGTGGAAACGCAGACGAGCGCGGTCCAAACCCAGCAGCAACAGCGGCGGGGAACAAGGTGAAAAAGAGGACACGTCTAACCCAGGGCCCCGAGAAGAGCAGTAACTTTTCCACCAGGAAAATTCCACCAGAAAGCTGTAAGACATAAGCCCAAGTTATGTGCACTGCGAGAAATGGCATTAAATTGTCCGACGCCGAAATTTCTGAAGTCTGCGTCCATCGAGCGATCACCATGGGAGATAATCTTAGAAATTCCGGGCGAGAACAGTTCAACCAGACAGGCGGACAATCTGGCCGGTTGTCTTTCGTCTAGCGAGCTATTCTCCTACAACCCGGAGGTTAGGATGGCCCGGCCCACTAAAATAGCGGAAGTCCACATCAGCGGGTTAGATAATTCGATCACCCCGGCCTAAGTGGCGCCGGCGGTGACCACAGCGGGCGCATGCGAGATGACTGACATATAACCGGAGAAATCCGCCGCCGTACACCTATTAATATGGACTCTATTTGGCTCCAATGCCCTGTGGCAAAGATTACCGTGATGGATACGGTCCCCTCCGTGGCTTCGATATCGGCACGCGTGGAAGCACTAGTCGCCCGATCCCTGCAGTGCTAACGCTGCGTGGAGATTGGACACAGCTTGACGCTGTTTCTCAAATGTGGACCGCAGTAGGCGCTGCTATACTTACGGGGTGTGAGATCGTCGCTCGAGAAATTACACAAATGCTCTCTCTGCGCGGACCTGGGCAGGCTGGGCAGTAAGGCATGTTACCGGCCTACGAAAAAGAAAAGCGCGGCCACTAGCAAACCAAGGCCCAGGGACGTTTCTCTCACCTGCTGGGACGGCGAACCATCCAACCAACCTTGTCGAAAGAAGGAGGACGACAGCCGAACAATCCGCTGCCGAGAAGGAATGTGGCCATGAAGAGGCCATGGACAGCGGAATGCGGGCCGCATTATTCAGACGAAATTAAATCATTCAGGCAGAGCGCAGGATCTCTTAGCACAAATAATGACCGAATAGAGCATCAAACTAGCAGTAGTGGCAGAGCCATACAGAATCCCGGGTGGCCTCAACTGTGCAGGTGACGTCCTGGGCTCAGTGGCCTTAGCACGAGGAAGAATAGACGCGTCCCCTGTTCTGCGGGCCCTTGAACAGGACCGGGTTTTGTCACAGTGAAATAGGGAGGACTACCGTAATCGGAGTATACGTCTCTCCTTCCGAGCCTATCCCTCGTAGAGTTTGAGGGTTTTCTAGATGACCTAAGAAGCAACGTTGCGCAACTTCTCCCAAGACCTATATTTGCATTGGGAGATGTTATTGCCAAGACCACCCTGTGGGATTCACTGAAAACAAAGCCAAAGGGAAAGCTGTGACCGAATGGGCAGCAGGGCTCGATTTCAGGTTCATGAACAGCGAAAATACGAGCACCTGGTCGCTCGCGGTGGGGCGAGTCTGGGAATGGAAAGTAGCTAACGAGAAAGAGACGACTTTTACATTCTAATTCGCTTCTAGCACGCGAAGCAGACAAAAAGGGAAAATTCTCGCCAACGAGCTAGCTAGCAGGAAAGTCAAGAGAAGCGGAGTCAGCCTTCTTCGCGATGGGTAGTAAAATAAATAGATGCAGGCACACATTGCAGTGTGGCCAAAACATAGCCTCGAGTCAGACATCTGTAGCATTGCGATGCCTCGCGTCAAAATCAAACTTCTTATTGGTGGAGCTCTACGTATTGGTAGTCCTCCGAAATCGAAGCGAAGCACGCCACATGTCAACGAGCACGCCGAAAAATCCAAAGGAGCAGAAGGAGTAGAAGGCGAAACTCGGATGAAGAGGAATGCCATATACGATACCGAAAGTATAGGAAGGCCGCCATCGTTCTACAACAAAGGCGATCAGCTAGACGAAAATATGTACCTGGGACGAGCTCTTCGGCACCCTCGCCTTGACTCATGGGGACGTCCCTACCTCGGATTGGTTCTGGGCAAATTTCAACCCAAAACATCACCGATTATGTTGCTTCCCACACTGTTTCCTGGAACAAATGAAGATAGTAGCCTAAGAAATATCTGCCCCAACGGCTATTCCCCCACCGATCGGGGCTGAAGAACTAGCGGTGGCGTCAGGAAAATGAAGGGAAGGAATACCGTCCCAGGTTCGGACGGAATCCCTGGACGAGCGCTAGTGCTAAGTGTACTTAGAAAGAGACTAATGCAAATACAATAAGTGATTTGCTATGTAGATGACACACTTTTTGTCGCCGGGAGAAGACAATGGACCCGTACTCTCAGGTTAATGGAAGCAGGAGTTGTGGCGATCCTGACAGAATTCCGGAGACTAGAGTTGGAAGTAGCCGCGCAAAAGAGGAAGGCCATATGATTCCACAGTTTCCCTCGGACGCGGCGTCCACGGCATACGTGGATATCGATAAAAGGTGAGCGCATCCTTGTCCGGGACTTGAAATAATTGGGGGTCACCTGAACTTTGAGGCACAGTCCAAACGCCTGGCATCAAGGATAGAGATAACAGCTGACCATAAGGGCAATACGTGCCTATTGCACAGGTTCATACGAAGTGCTCGGAGGAATAACTTTCTACGTGCTGGCCGAGACAGAGGCAGAACTCTACTGGGTAAAAATACGCCACAAGCGGTAAGGAGTGGTAACTACTAAGATGGAGACCGCGCAAAAAAGAAGTCAAACGTAGCGATGGGAAACGCGGAAGTGGGACCGCCACTTCTCATTGGGACCATGTGTAGCGGAATGGAGCCTATTCACTAGATGACTGTTGGCAAATTCTTTGTTGAATTAGAAGTTGAAATTCCTCGCGTGCCGCTCTGTATTTTTCTGGTGCCAGTCTGCGAGTTCGTTTTGCACATGGTCTGCTTTTGGTGATTATGTGGTGGCGTACTTTGTGTTTTGGTTTGTTGTGTCTCTGTGTCGGTCTAGTAACATCGATGTATCGTTTTAATAAAGAAGTGTATTTTTCGCCGTTTTCGTTACCTACTGTAGTGACTGTTGGTTGGGTCGTGCATCTGTCCGAATCTCTGTATTTTGGTGTAGTTGTTCCTATTATCCGTTTGTTCCTCCGGTCTATCAGAAGACCGTGATGCTGCAGGAAGTCGGCACCAATAGTCAGTTGTACCTTTGTAACTATGAGCTTTGAGGTATATGGACGCCATAGTCCGAGGTCCAGAGTTAGCGTTCTGAAACCGAAAGTCGCGATGTGCGTACCGTTTGCAGCATAAACCTTGAAACCAGAAGGGACGACATTTTCTTTTACGAATTCAGCAATATAGATATGTCCCCGGTATCTATTAGGAAGTGTAATTTATTTTTGAAATCACCGATAATAAGATAACTAACTCTGCACGCCATCCAGTGTCAAAACTGTGGAACATGCGTCTAGTTTTCCAGATGCGCTGGTGCAGTCGTGTTACTTCCGGTGGCCGATGGTGGTCACGCATAGTGTTTCGCAGCGGTGTGCTTGTGTGCCGAATCGTCGGTTATACTAACAGACACCGGAGTTCCGTTGACCTTTGCTGGTGCAGTTGATAAACTGTTTTGCGCTGGGGAACGTCCGCTAAGGAATCCTAAGTGTCATCTCCAGTGAGTCATCTGCCTTCTCACCGAGTGTCTCCCACCTGCATGGCGGCTACCTGTCGGGTGAGCTCGACGATCTGTTGCGTCATGTAGCTGCCATGTTGCTTTCTTCTTGTCTCGTCATTTTGGTTTTCTCAGCAGAAGTCGCCACGTTGCCTCGGCTCACTTCCATAGAGACTTCTGAACTCTGTCACCTTATCGCCAGCTTCATTAGGTCTGTTCTCTCATTGGGGAGCTGAGATCGGCACAGTTTTTTCCGAATCCGGAGCTTCCCAATCAGGATTAAAAACCTCGATATAAGGCCTACTAATCTTAGGCGAGGTCTCTTTTTCAAGGTTGAGGACTTTATACTAGTTAAATGGTCCATATTTCACCTCCACGCGAAGAGCTCTGCAGACGGGACTACGGCCTTATGAAACAGATTACGCAAAATTGAGTGGTCGAGAGGAAGGGAGGAGAAAATCTGAACAACATATGGTGGACAAACAAAAGGAAAAACTTACTGGTGCAGGGTGTTTCGGATCTTCCAGGCCCGATACGGAGGGGATGGTTGAGCGGGTCCCCTCCGCATCGTCATCGAACAACCATGTGTGCGAGAATATGGCTGTGCTCAAGCCTGCGCTACCAACAGCACGACTGGCACAGCAAAAGAAAAGCCGGACAAAAGCCTGGCGATGACGATAAACGAGGAGGAGATAACTCAGACGATTCGTTCCCGCCACGAAAGTAGACAGCCAAAAGAAAAGGAAAAAAGAGGGGCCTTCTGGACATATCCGAGGATTCAGGCAACGCTGAGGTTACGAAAAAGAAATCCATGGCCCCAACTGCCAGGAAAAGAAACAGGGAGACGAAGAGAACGACGACTACTTCCTGAACCCCTGAATCCCTGACGGCGTTTCCTCCCCTGACGCCTCCTCCGTCCGAGGGATTTAAGCATCTCCCAACCGACGAAGAAAGAGTGGCAGAGTTAAGATACTGGCAGCGATCATTTTAGAAAGCGCGAAGACGGTCGAAAAAATGGCAGCCGTCTCCAGCAATCCAGAAAGTATGCATAAGAGTACTACCTCCACGGTCGGAAACTTGCGCAACAGTATCACGAAGCTGACGAAAAGGAACACGTCATCTAGAATGGGCGAGCTGGAGGAGAGACGAAACTGAAACGCCTCAAAAACGACAAAGGAATCTGCTACGAAGGAGCGAGCCGGCGTCGAGAAGACGCTAACTGTCACGAGGGAGCAGGAAAATATATGCGGAAGTGACGAGCACAGCTAAAAGCTGTGTCAAACTATCCAAGACCGAGATACCCGAAGTGCGCGGTCAGCTGGCAATCACGGGTGGAATAATCTTGGAGATCTCAGATGAGGACAACGGCGAAAGCGGAAAACCTTGCCTGCCGTTTGCGCAAACTGTTCTCCGAAAACCAAAAAGTCACGGTGATTTGGCCTATCAAAAAGATAAAAGTCCGAATCGACTGGATGACTCAATCACCCTGGCTGAGGTGGTGTCAGTTGTGGCTACGGCAGATGGATGCAACCGGCGTCAGGACAGAAGGGATCCGCTAGCGCCCATGAGCAACATGATTGAAATTCCCTGTTGCAGCAGCGAAGAAGATCCTCCTCGGGATGCGT